TACGTGCACATCTTGTGGTTCCCTGCCCACACACCACTAGGTAAGGCGGAGGACAGTTTGAATGAAGTGGCGCACAACGTTGCTCGAGGTCTTACGTTTTCCGAGTCACGTCAGACGAAGCGGCCACCCAAACGGACCTTTCTGCGCCGATGTGGGAATGGGATGGTCAGCTCACTAAATTTAATGATAACTGAACACTATCGAAAAGAAGCGGAAATGTAAGGGAGTAAACACACACATCCACTCACAAAACAGTAGATATAACAATATGGAAAGTACAATACACCGTACTTTGGGTACGAAATAATAGAAAACAGTATCCTTGGTGACAGAATTCAACCTTCACAGCCTGACTCGTAAATATAGACTGGTGCAAGCAGATACCAGTATGTCGGATAACTATGAAAACTTATACAAGGGGCGTGCAAAGCCACACATAATTGTAACGCATAACCTGGCCGGTGATGACGCCACCACTAAATTTTTTATAAACCATATTTACGAAAGCAGCCTCTGTGGGCTAAAATAGAAAAAGCCAAGTACAGAACAGTTTTGAAGAGAGATAACATGTACGGACTCTCAAAATTAATAAGAGGAATACTCGTGTAAAATGTCTGCCCCGACAATGACTCGAAACTAGTGACTAGTGGAACTTCGGGAATAACAGCAGGCAGAGAACGTTTTTTTTTCAAAGGAGAAGACAGACAGACAGGTGTTTTATGAAGGGGGATTGATTGTGTTTAAACAAGTCGGTCTCCAATATTCATTTTAATGCAATAGAGTGACTATTTCAGTCCTCAGTACAGTTGGCAGTTACTGCTATTCATGACGCCTCATTTATAAGGTAGGGCTGACTTTTCATGTTACCCGCCACGGTGGTATAGTGGCGAAGGCACTCGGCTACTGACTCGCAGGTCATGGGATCAAATCCCGGCTGCAGCGACCGTAGTTTCGATGGAGGCGAAAATGTTTGAGACCCATCTTCTTAGATTTAGGCGCACTATAAAAAACCAGGCCACGATGGCGTAGTAGTTGGAGTATCTGGCCGCGATGGCGTAGTGGCTATAGAGTGTCAGCCTCACGTGTAAGACAATTGTTCGGTTCATGGCGCCACGCAATTCCGCAATAGATTAAAAATTATCCGCATGATCATGAAATTACTGTAAAAAGAGGCCTGGGGTGTGAATTCACCGGTGACCACCGCCTGTAACAGGCTCTCTCACCAGAGAAGAATTGGCCACCCTGGTGCAGCATCTGACCACTACTTCCCACATATACGGCAATTAACTCTCGGCCCTCAGTCCCCAGCGGCTGCGAAGAGAGTGCCCACAGCGGTGGTCAGATCTGCTATGCAACAGAGGGTGTTCAGATTCTGTGTCTGGACCGGCTGCCATTGGAACCTGAACTTGGCAACTCTTAACGCTAAAAGCTTATCTAGTCAGGTGCTATCAGCTGTGCTATTCGAAGAACTGCAGGATATTAAATAGGATGTAATTGGATTCATTGAGAATAAGAGGACAGACGTGGCCTATGCAGGGCTAAAGAATAAACATGTCTTTTGCTATCGTGCCGACATTGACTCAATTATGAGAATGGAGGTGGGGGGGGGTTGCTTATCCACAGAAATATAGGTGGTGATGTAGAGGAATATTATAGCTTAAATAAAAGGGTGGCAGGTATCGTAGTACATTTATTAAAGTATAGAAATTGAAGGTGTTACAGGCCTACATGCATACATCCAGCCATGACGATGTATTAATTGAAAGCTCCTATGAAGACGTGGAATCGGCAATGAGTAAAGTAAAACCCAGGGATCATTCAGGATGTGGAAGTGCTTGGTAAATTAAGGTACGATGTAAATGCCATACAATGGTAAGGTCTTCAATTTGCCTAGACTTGAAGAAGGAGTGACAGAAACTGATACGCAAGAAGCCATTCAATGAGCTAGCACTGGGGGGGGGGGGGGAGTAGAGAAATACCAGATATTTGCCCTAAGGCGCAAGGGAGGCGAAGTAACTACCAATGTGGATACGATAGTTAAATTAACGGAGGAGTTTTCAGAGATCTGTACAGTAGCCAGGACAACCATGACCATAATGTAAGAGCTAGCAGTACCCTAGATGACATTCCACCAGTAATCACGGTAGAAGCCGGGAATGCCTTAGAGGGAATGCATAAAAGCAGAACTGCTGGTGAGGATTAGGTAACATCAGATCTTATGAAAGAAGGAGGACATAATCTGTTAGAAATACTGGACACCCTGTTTACAAAGTGTTTCCTGATGGGGAGGGTACCAAAATATTTAAAGAATGCTAACATCATCCTAATCCATTAAAAAGTGGACGACAAAAACTTGAACAAACACAGGCCGATCAGCTTGCTCTCTGTTTTATACAAGCTATCTACAAAGGTAATTTTTAACAGAATTAAGATAACATTATAAATCAACCAACTGTAGGAACAAGCAGGATTTAGAACAGGCTACTGAACAATCGATCCCATTTATACTATCAATCAGGCAATAGAGAAACGCTCAAAATGCACCCAACCACTATGCATAGGCGAGTGGTTGGGTGCATTACGAGAAGGCATTTTATTTAAAAGAGATATAAGCAATTATGCAGCCGCTGCGGAAAGAGGGCGTCGACAAAGCATATATAAACATCCTGGAAGAAATCTACAGCGAATGAGCTGCCACCATAGAGCTCAATGAAGAAAGCGACAAAATACGATTAAAAAGAAAGGTGTAAGACAAGAAGTTACACTCTCACCAATGTTATTTACCAGGTGCTTACAGGAGGTTCTCAGAAGGCTGTAATGTGAAAAGTAAGGGGACGAGGTAATGGAGAGTACCTTCGTAACCTGCACTTTGCCGATGATATCGCATTGCTAAGTAACAGAGGGGCAAATGGCAATTCCTGATTACTAAATTATACAAGCAGAGCAGAAATGCAGGTCTTAAAATTGATCAGCAGAAAACGAAAGTAGTGTACAACAACCACGGAAAAGACTAGCGCTTCGAGATAGGTAGCAGTGCACCCAAAGTTGTAAAGGAGTGCGTCTACTTAGGACAGATAATAACCGCGGAGCCGAACGACAAGATTAAAGTAACTAGAAGAATAATAATATGGTGAAGCACATTCAGCAAGCATTCACTAATCATTGAAGTTAGATTGCCACTATCTATCGAAAGAAAGGTATATAAGAGCTACATCTTACCAGCACTTAGTTATGGAGCAGACGCCTGGAGAATCACAAAGAGTGTTCAACTTAGCTTAAGGATGACGCAGCGAGCAAGAGATAGGAAAATGGTAACTGTAAACCTAAGGAGCAAGAAGACAACAGTGTATCAAGAAACAAACGGATGTTAAGGACATGATAGTCGAAATTTGAAAGAAGAAATGGCCATTGGCGGGTACGTAACATGGAGGCAAGATAAGTGTTAGTAATCAAGGGTCACAGACTGGATTTTAAGACAAAGCAATCGGGTAAAGGGGAGACAACATTAGGTGAGCATATGAAATTAGCAAGTTGGTGGGTGAGAACTGGCAGCAGGAAGCACAAGACCAAGTTGACTGGCGGAACTTGGGAGGGGCCTTCGTCCTGCAGTGGGCGCTGTCAGTCTAATGACGATGATAGAAAACCTTAGGTGGCCGAAATTTTCGGAGCCCTCCGCCACAGCATCTGTCCTAATTATAGGCTCGTTTTTGGACGTTAAACCTCAACAATTGTTATGATTAGCTTCCATTTTGTGAGCGGAGCCTCTCATAATTCTTAGAGCTCAGTTTTTGTTTTTTGGGCAGGTTCCAAAGCTTCAGAATAGTCAGCAATGCGCAGTAAATCACTATGTCTTCGTGATTATCCTGTCCTTTAGAGTAGCTGCACAAATACGAGAATGAAGCCCATGCGACCGGTTCACTATTGTCCAACATATTTGTTTTCTTTTCATATGGTGGCTTGGTTTCACTGACTGAAACAATTAACGTGTCAACACTCAACGGGCTCATTGCTTATATGGCCAGAGAATGTGGCGAATGTTTTCCATTGGTCTAGTGAAATTGCATCATGAACATTTAAAGTTTTGTGTTTTCTGTAACCTTACTGGGTACTAGCGACAACAATGTAGTGTACAATAACGCATGTCATCTTGCCCATACCTTTCAGCGAAGATGAATTTCAAAGACTGACACCTGTGTTGGCCGCGGTGATCGCGTTTTAATGGAGACAAAATAGTAGAGGCCCGTGTACTTTGCGTTGCACGGTATATAAGACCAGATGGACGAACTTTCCCGAGCCCCGCACTTCGGCATCCCTCATTATCATATGCTGCTTTCAGCACGCGGAACTCCAGATAATATTATCGAACCATGTGCTTGCTGCTATCATTGCACCAAAACTGACCTTTCTCTTCACGAGAACAAGCAAGAAAAGATTTAAGCTACCTTTTAACGCTGAAATTCTGCCAGGAATAATTTAGTTAGAGGGTTCAAAATATTATGTTTGAAGGTATATAAATATAGCAGTTGTAGTTGCCTATGTAGTCGCGGCATTTTGCTCAGACTTGCTCTCCCAAGAAACGGAACTCGTTTAACAAAATTAAAAGAGGAGAAAGTCTTATAACCACGTGAAGGGTGTAGCCACGCTGCATATATGTGTAGCGCGCGTAGGAAAAAAAATCGTCTTGCGTGACTCGTGTCCTGTATACTCCTGTTCTTGTTCATCAAAAGGGAGTTCTGCTGGGCGAGTTGGTAATATTTCGCTATTAAACGTAGCGCAAACGCACAAAAAACACAGTTTTGTTCTTAATTTCTGCGGCTTTCGCGCTACGTCAAATTTTTTTGGCTCTATTCTTCCTCTCTCTACCCTGCCTCTTCTTTTTTTACAAATGTGACAATTCGCTAGTGTTTTAGCGATACGTAATCCTGCTGAGTGCCATAACGTAATTTTTGATATTTTAACGCACGCAGGAGATAATAACGTTGGTTCCTGGAGAAGTCTGGAGGTAATGGAACACGAAAGCAGCTCTAGAACGTGCGCTTTTTTTTCCGTGAAATACTCCGAGCAGCCGACTGTGGCTTCTGGCCGAGGTAATCTGATTGATTGATTGATATGTGGGCTTTAATATCTCAAAAGCGGTCGAGGTAAGCTCCACATTATTCAAAACAGATAAGTAGAACACGTGGTACCAATAAAACATGACAAAATGATCAGTAGTAGGCGTATATTGACACCTGATTTAAGGCAGACACCTGACAGTTTGTTGGCAATTTAAAAGTTTCTTGAATGCGAAGTTGAGGGTAAGAAATAATAGAATCAACCATTCAAGGGTAAATAATACGCATAAAAATTGTTTAGTGTAGTATTTCAAATTTTTTTAACACTATACGTACACAGAACTGAGAAACAAAGGCTTCATGCTGATTGAATATAATTATTATCGCAGGGAAAACAATCAAGTTCCAGCTCTCCCGAGGGGCAAGTCTGAAAAAGTTAGGAAAGCAAACTGGAAACGGAATCCAACAACTAACAAGCAGATGGTCTAGTTGTGAGAAATCAAACATTATCGTTACGGCATATGTGTTATACAGGTTTGTTTTTAAACCAAGCGATGAACGCATGACCTATAGATGAAAAGAAGCCGATACCAGAGAAGTGAATCTACCGAAATGCAACAGCATCTTCGCTGGCTGTCTTGAAACTGCAGGGGCTTAAATCAGGTGGAACTATATACAAGAATCTACATAAATATGTGCCACCATTTCATAAAATGTGTGTGGACGTTTGCGTGGTATACATTGTGGCAGAGTAGTTTAACAAAAGCAAATGTAGATGACTGTAAAGGTTTTTACAGCGAGCACAAGATTTCCCTCGTAGACCAGTCCAATTTCTCTTTTAAACAATATTTAACTACCAGGCGTGCTCAGGATTCCCCTTTGGAGAGGGGGGAGGAGAAAGGATTGTCGCAGGGCCCCCTCTCCCTATTATGTCAGTTTACCGGGCTGACGTGGCGCCCCTTCCTCCTCCCGAACGCAGCGCCCCCTTCCTATTATGTCAATGTATGGGGCCCACTATCAACCCTTCATGTTGCCCCCTCCCCCTACATGCACACACGTGCGAATTCGCCTAAATAAAATATTTCAATGAATTTATGATATTGGTGTTATTGGTACTTGTCTTGTTTAAGTATTCCTGGTATATATAAGTATTTGTTTAGCATAAGCTTAAGACCACAATTTTTCAACAAAAGTGAAGTTTTGTTTAATAGATAACAGTACAGAATTATTCTTCGTATTGGGTAGCAGTTTCCGCCAGAGTGTTCAGAAGTTTCCATATTTACAATCTCCCCTGTACATAGTTACGTTTCCCATTTTTCATTAGAAACACGCAGTTTCAACTCGCAAAGAAGGTACCCAATGAAAAAGTCAACTTGGAATATTAATGCGTCAGGTAATCCTTTGTGATTGATCTGTGTCAACAATGCACTGTATTTCACTGATGGCTTATCAGAGAGTCGCAAATGAAAGTGGCCAGCACACTTGCCGCCAATACGTATATTATTACCGTATTTTGCGTGTGACGACTCAGCAGTGCTAGCTAAAGCATCCATTACCCGGACAAAGGGTAAGCGTTACATACGCATTTGTAGTAACCTATGTATGTACACAGAAATTTCACAAGAGAACCCCACAATCTATCACAAGCCTTGCCATACATAGGGATGACGAGAAGGCCTTGAAATATTCAGAACACCAACAATAACTGTAATATATGGCAGAAAAATAAAAAAATTGGTATCTATTTATTCGCGAAAGATTGCCATAAAATTATAGACAAAATAGAATTGCTACAAACACGCTAAATTTTCCTCGTAATGGCAAAATTGTTTTCTTCCAGAATAATTCTGGACATCAAATTATCATTTATTTTTAAAATTTCTCCAACGTTTTTCAGCCCTCCAAATCCGAAAATTTGTTGCTCTTTGAGAATCTTCAAATTGGAAAAAAAGACCTATGCAATTTTACAAGCTTTGTGCTCTGAGTAGGTAAATGCCAAATTTGTTTTTAAAGTAACCTGCTGAGTAAAGTATGTGTTATTCAGCTTTTCTCGACTTATACACGATTTTCATAAAAAGCATGCCTTGCTGAGCATAAATTGCGCGAGAATGTGTACTGTGAAGTCTTACTGCTAAGAACTTTTTTGTGCTATATAGACATAAAAGTTGGTTTTTCAGTCTCGAGGGCCAGAACGAGAGCAACATCTCGGGGTAAGTAATTCACTGCCGTTTGCATATCTGCTTCGTTTTTTGTTAGTTCAAGTATTTATTACATGCGTCTTTGGTTATCATTTGCTGAAATCACAGCGATCAAAAATACATTTACACCACGCTTGTGGAAGAAATCCTGGAAATAACGGTTCTTCTTCCTCAAGTAATGTACCTGCACGAATAAATGTTAACTGCTGGTTAAAATAATGCCAATAGTTACCTGTTTCTCAGGTACATTAATAAAAAATAGTCACAGCTTTACCGCAAAGGCGAAGCAATGAACGTGATAGCAACAAATTGGATGGTCCCGCGCAGAATGGCAAGCAGATCAAAACGTGCCCCGCGTTTCTAACGCACAAAGTACGCACGAAACGTACTCACAGGTACACAGATGAACGTCAATAAGCGTCTCATTTATATCTGTGCTGTGTCTGAAAAGCGCGCCTTTTTCGCAAACGGTGACTGTGCAATAATTGCAGTGACCTTTGTGCACGCCACAACTACAACAGAATCATTCCAGTCAAGCCCGACGCCAGCCAAGACGTATGATATTCTCCACCACGAGATAAGGGCGCTCGAGAGATCGTGCACTACCCCCCTCTCCGCGGGCCAAGGTACGCGTAAGAGATGAGAGCCGCTGAGCGCTCATTGCGCCATGTAGCTGATAATGCATAAAACATGATAGCCCCCCCCCCCGAGATTCCCGCCAACAGCGGTATGTGATATTGTAAATAGCTTGCCGCTTGAAACTTGAAAGAGGTACCCTTCGGTGGCTCAATGGTTAACGCTTTGCATTTACGACGAGGGGTTCACACGTTGAATTGTGCGCAGTGTAGTCTTTTTTATGGATGTGAGATACAAGATAGCTTTAACACGATATAGTGTCAGTCATTATTGTGACGGAACGAAATAAAGCACCTACCAGCAGAAACCATTCATACAAGTCGGCGATTTGAACGTAGACAATATGCACGTTAGGAGCTATATTGATCGTCGACTGTTTATGTCCCTTGGTGTCGCTTTATGAAAACCAGTTTCGCTATACCGGGCAATACTTGAGTAATGTATGGTGTAGCGGAAGTATATGTGGAGTACAAGACTGCTTTAAAATGTACTTATATCAATAAATATTGCGACGGTACATTACAAAACACCTACAAGCACAAACCCTTTACAAAAGCAGGCGACTTCGTCGTAGACATTATGCACCTTAGAACCTTGCTTTATCATCGACTCTTTATGTCACTTGGTGTCCCTTTATGTTTGTAGGTGTGCGTTATATGAAGCAACAGGTAACGTATGGTGTAGTGGAAATATAAGTGTGACACAAAATAGCTTCAAAATGAACTATGATAATATATGGGTTTTAAAGGCACAAGGGCCATACTTGGCCAAAGAGCGCCATAGAAAATGTTGATGAAATGTCAAGGGTACATGGTTTGATGCAAAACGTACAGGATATGAACTATGATTATATATGGTGTTTTTTGACGCAAGGGCCATTTGATGGTCAAAGAGCGCCAGTTCATGGGACAAGGCATGTGGATAATGATTGTGATTAGCGGCTGTATAAGGGCCATAAAATTCCTCGCAGTAAGGCGGGTAAAAACATTCAAGTAATAAAATCATGACCATGCCGTGAAAGGTGTGTGTGGTGTGAATAGGTGACAAAAGTTGGTGATAATGTAAAACGATGGTGGACATGTATGGCATTAGCACAAGTACCTCACTCGTTCATGCTTTTGCGTCCAAGGGCCGTGAGGCAAGTGCTTTCCTGTGTAGACACCGCAGCGAAAACCTCTCTGGAGAGGTCGTGCTACGAAATGCCCGGGTATATGATATGAAAATTATGAATTTCATTTAAAAACGCTAACAATGATTCATAACTAAAAAGCGGTTCCCTACCAACGAATATTGCAGGGTGTAAAGGTATATGTTGTCGGTAGGGTAATGGAAAATGCTGTTTTCTTAGAGTTTATAAGTGTTTGCACTGAATTAACATGTGAAGGACTGTTAATGCTTCACCACAGCTGTCACACAATGGTGGATCGCCACCGGACAAAAGATGTGAGTGTGTCGTGTATGTGTATCCTATCCTGACCCTCGTTAGTGTTACCTCTGTGTGACGTGATTTTGATACTGGCGGCCAATGGACAAGGTGTGGCTTAATAACGTGTAGTTTGTTTTGTGTGCGTCTATCCCACTTGCTCTGCCAGTATTCCCTTAGCTTTCATTTGAGAAACGGCTTAAAATCAAGGGCCGGGATTATTATGGGTGTAGGGGCAGTGCTTTTGTGGACGGATGCAGCGAGCTGATCCGCCCTCACGTTGCCTTGGATCTCACAGTGCCCTGGCACCCAGCACAATACAACATGTTGTTTGAGTGTGTAGAGTGTGCACAATATGGAGTAAAGTGAGACAAGGACCGGGTTCCTTTGTTTTTTAAGACTATGCGGAGCCGTTACCACACTCAGGAAGTCTGTATAAATTACTGCTTTCTGTATTTGTAATTGTTTGATGTGTTTACCTGCCACAAGTATCGCGTAAGCTTTCGCTGTGAAGATACTTGTGCCTGGATGTAGAGGGCCTGTGAAGATACTTGTGCCTGGATCGTTGATGGGGATAGCGAATATGCGTTCCACCATGATGTTCCGAAAGGATGAGTAAATCGGAATGCTGCGGCAAGTATTCAAGCCTTCGAGATGTGACGTTTGAATCTGGAGTGCTGCCTCCTCTAGAAATTCTTCTATGCATCTGTGTTGCCTTTGGTTACGCAAGAGTTGACATAATGAGCATAAATACTAAGGCCGAAATGTTTTATCTGTGACAACACATCTGTAAACTCTATCACTGCAAATTGGAGAGGAAATTGGATGGAATCCGCAAGAAAAACCTCGACTGAGTACAGTGAGTGTTTTTGAGCTTAGATCACCAAGGCTGTCTTCCGCTGTCCTGTTGTTTAAAGATCTCAGCCATAGCAGTAAGTGCGTGGTCCGATGCGTAGTTGACGTAGAAGCTGCGAAATAGCTAAATGAGGAATGTTGTAGCCGGCTATAATCAAATTCAATACAATATTGTCGGCGTGCGCTCACCGCTGAAATCCTATGCAGCACATCGTGCTGAATGCACTGCATGGCGTCCTGATACGACAGACCGGGTAGCAAACCTATCAGTGCAACAGGAAGCAGGTTTTTATGCTCGACAAAGCTGCTGTGCCTTTTAGAAACGACATGTTCCATCAGTTAAGAGAAGTGGGGCGGAGATTTTCCAAAAGTAGGAATTTTGTCAGGTAGGGTATGGAAAGAAACCTTGCATGTTACTTTGCAGTGACATCTCGCTCTTTTACCAGCATGACTTCATGTAATTAGTTGTAGCCTTGAGATGTGTTCTAAGTTTTAAAGTGTTTTGTTCGTGACTTTCTCAGCTTCTCGGGCAGATTCGGTCTATAACTGAAGCGCCACTTTCCCTAATACCACTCGGAAGATGGCAACATTTATGATGAAAATAGTAACCAGTGTAATCGGCAAGGGCTTGGAGTGAGTGCGAAGCTATGTATGTTTTCTGCAGGGATTGCAGGTTCTCATCAAGGCTGCCCAGAAAATGGTGACCTAATCAACTTAGTCATCTAGATTGTCCAATTTACATGTGTCTGGTTTGAAAAGGAGCTGCCAGGAATGAGCGAGATCATGCTTGTCTTCTATAGTAGCGCAAATCGGATTTTACTTTGACGAAATAAGCTTCTTGCCGTACACAGTGACTTGTTCGTCGAACTCTGCGACCATAAGCCTGAGGTTTTTGTTTAGTGACTGGTTGCGCCATCTTTGTGAATACTGTTGTGAGCTTGTCATTAACGAAGATGAGAGCTCATGTAGTCAATTCTAGTAGATTCAGGAACCTCACACGTGAAACCTGTAATATCTTCATTCAGCGCCGCGTCCCCCTCTTTTAGCTTTACTTTACAAGTAGGCACGATTTGTTGTATCTATGCGCAGAATATTTATTATTACTACAGCTACCGCACCTCCATCAGTTGCTGTCTTTAGTTTTCCGAGTAAAGGCTCGGAGACGGCCCCAAACAGAGCTTGTGTACTGCCCACGGTGCGGTAAGGCGTAACCGCCTGGCGACGGCGAACGATAAGGTCATAAGGGTGTTGACCGCACTCTAGCGTGGTAGTCGACGATGTCATGTGGTCGTTCACCCCGTTGTGGGCACGGCGCGTTTATGTCAAAGCCCCGTAGACCCATCTGTCGGTACCAGCAATGACGGTAGGTGTGCCCGGCCTTACCGCAGTGGTAGCAGAGCAGGGGGTTGTCAGGTGCCCGCCAAACGTCAGTTTTTCTCTCTACATTGCGATGGCCTGCTGGCGAACAGGAGGATGTCACATGTGGTGGTGGCGTCGTCAGCGTCTGGTGACGCAAGTGCGACGAGGTGGCGTTTTCGCGTAGGCGTGGAGGACGGGCCTGACGGCGCGCTGCAGCAGCATAGCTCATGGATTGTGGCTCAGGCTGCGTTGGTTCGGGTGTCCAAAGGAATCGCTAGACATCCTGCCGGAAAACGTCGGCGATCGGGTCGAAGGGATGCTGCGAAGCCGGCAGCAATTTACGCCGCTCTTCCCGTAGCATCACTAGTATCGTTTTGCTGAGGTCATAAGAGCCGAGAGCATGAAGAGCTGAATTGTCTTCCTTCGCTCGCCGATTGTACTGGCGAGTTTGCATTTCCAGCGCCTTCTCAATTCCTAGACGGTCTTCGGAGGGTTTGGGATCAGTCAAGCGAAGAGTTTTTGCTTGGTACCTCACATCAAAAAACGAACTTTTTTTCCTGAAGCATGTCGGGGTCAGTGTAGTAGAAAGTCGCGTCATTTCTTCAACGAAGATTGTTAGATATTCATTCGAGAGTTGCACCCTCGTTTCCACCAGCATCGCGACTCTTTCTTTGTGGGCGATGCTCCCTAACGTGTCCAGAAATACGCCAGGGAATAGATTCCATGTTTGAAGGGCAGA